AAAAAAAAAAGAAAAGCCTGTAAATAGTTCAAGGTCTGTTTGTTGACCTTTAGGAGTGTTTTCCCGTTCAAGTCTGATGGGGTGCCACGCCCTGGCCCCAAAGTCTATTTTTGGTACTCCCTCCGGACTTCCTTGCTCTGCCCCCCTTGCTGTTCTGTTACATGCCCCTTAGTGTTTTGCCTCGGTGTGGTAGGGTCAGATCGGGTGCAGTTCCCGCTGCATTGTGCCTCCAGTGTTGTCCCCCATAGGGCTATGGGTCAGTGAGGGATGTCGTGTCTCATAGTGGAGCCGACCTTATGGTCTTCTCTGTGCATTGGCTGCTCTGAGCAGGGATGTCATCCTCAAGGCTTGGTGGGCCAGGTTGTGCTCCACTCTCCCCCTTCATTTGCTCCTGTGTGCTCTGATCACACATGTCCCTCTCCCAGCACATTTTTTATGCAGTTTTTGTGGTAAAATTAGGTGCCTTGGCTGGTATTCGGGTCAGCTTATACACAAGTATTTACAGTAAGTCACCGTTATCTGAATAATATCCATTAAAATATTTCAATTTCACTTCAGACCACACGTACACACCAAAAGAACCACATATGGCTCGAGAGCCGCAGTTTTCCGACCCCTCTTCTAGAAGTAAGTAGGTAGATTTTATGTTGTTTCAGAACAACAATGTGGAAAACTGTTAAATACATGCACAAAAAGCATGAAGAATGAAGTTGGTGCTGCTGAGTAATGCATGGAAGGGCTGTTGGACTGCAGAGATGTTCGCGCCCATTTTTACCACATGAGAAATGAAATCGTAAAGAAAGTGCTCTGAAACATAGATCCTAACTGTCACTGGATTTTAAAGCAAGAGAAGAGAGCCAGCTACCCTCCGTGCATCTTGGCTTCTAGAAAGATTAGCTATGCTATATGAAAGCAAAAGCATTTTCCTTATCATAGCCATCTTCATACTCTAACAATGACAGACTTAGCATGGCCCGGTCACGATGGAGATTTGTGCGTTGCTCTTTAGAGTGGAACCCCAAAACTTGATAGTTTGTGCTTTTTTATAGGAACGTAACTGATACAGATATTCTAGCTCTGGAAAGGCGGCTTCTCCAAACCATGGACATGATCATAAGCAAAAAGAAAAGGTAAGCTACAGTACACATGTTTTGTAGCCGGGACTGTTCTCAACGTGAATTTGACTGTGAATTGATGCTGGCCGGGAATCCATCTTGCTCATTTTTCGTGTGTGTGTGTGTGTGTGTGTGTGTGTGTGTGTGT